AGACAAAAAACAACACTGTAAATTCTGCAACTTTTGATAGCAGTGGTAGCTCAAACAGCCAACCTGTAATTTCTATACCAAGTAATGAATGAATACACTGAGTTCTGGGCTGAACTGAATCCCCAAGAACCCATCAAGAGCCAGCTCTGAAAGGTTGCTGCTGACATGACAAGTACAGCCTGCTCCTTTCATTTTCGGCTTCTACGTCAGCACTTCTGCACAACTCCCATGGAGAAAAAGCACAAACCATGCCAGACTTCTTCAGTAAACACAACCCACTTCTGCAAAAGAGATTAAGCAACTCCCAACAGGCAAGTGGACATGGTAACAGAAGAGAGCATTTAAGGACAAGCCAGAACACATGCACTACCATTAACATGACTCCTCAGCTGCTAATAAAAGACATAGCAACCCACTGCAAAACAAGGCATGTAGGTTCACGGGGTATGTGTAGCATTTGTTTTTCTCAGGAGTCCCAACTACCTACAGAGCCAACAGCTGTGTGAACGTGTTGGCAATCTCTGCTTTGTTTAACATATATGCTTGGTTGACTGAAAACTCAGAAAGAGACTGGAACAATCAAAAAATCATGACGGCTTTTACTTTTAAACTGGGGTCATTTGTGATCAGATGTCCTCTTGATTTGAGTGGCAGTTTCAGTAGCAGTGCTGCTGATCCAAACTCCCTGACTTGCCTGGAGCCAGCAAGTCTCCAGTGAATGGTTCTGCTCCATTTCCCCCAAGCTCTCATGACTCGACCCAGACAGTTTCTGAAAGAAGCTTAAAAAAAAAAACCTGATCAAAAAGAACCTACAGCCTGGTTCCCCACACAGGAAAAGCACTCGATACTCTTAACACTACTTTTTCCAGAAACCACCATTCTGGAAAGATTGTTGACCCCTGTGAAAGACAGGACACACTGTAAGCTGTTGTATCTTGGCATATACCTGTGCTGCTGCCACAAAGAGCAGCTGTCCCCATCTCAGCCACATTCCTGTGGCTGCCCAGCAAGCTGGGCCAATTGCCTGAGCTGACTCTTCATGTGGCCACCTGAGTACCAGCACCAAGAACGGAGCTGGAATAAGAAGGGGCAGCCTGAGACTCTCACTGCATTAGAGAGGTCAGGGCAGTCCATGAAAAATAACCAAAGGTATGCCTGGGCTCAAACCTGAAGTAAACTGCAGGAACGTAAGTAGTGCTTTTGGAGAAGCAACTAAAGGTTGAACACCCCCAATACTCCCAAACTGGCTTTTAGTTTTTTGTTTGTTTTTTTTTTAAAGCTAGCCAGCTTTTAGCTATACATATGCCTATCCAATCACACAGTGAACTCTTCCTTCACCACATCTCTCCAGCACCATTTTTCCTTTCCTACTGCCATCCTTCATTTCCTCTATTCCTGTGACACTCTTATTTCCCATGTACCTTCCTCTTCCACCAGGCACTAGGAACATCCATTCTCCTAAGGACACAGCTTTTTAACTACTTTTCATTACAAAGAAAAAGCAATTAAGGAAGAAGCTACAGGAAAAACAAGAATACCCATGCCGTTGCTAGCCCCAGGGAAAGGCCAGAGGCAGATGAGGCTGAGCTCTGACCATGCTTCAGACAGGCAGTCTCCAAAGCACTGGTACCATAGCTGAGCTCTCAAACACTGCCTCCAAACTTGGTAGAATCACTCCAGGCTATGCTGGCAAAACCCAGCTCTGTCAGACCATGGAGCATGGGCAGAGCCAAGGACCTTGCCTACACGAATCTGTAGAGCACATCTGTAGTCTGTTCTCTAACCCTTTTCAGGCTGCAATTTTTCCAGGCAAATACCATGTTTCCACTGTCCCTGGTGTGCTCTGGCTCAGTGCCCTAAAAGCAAAAGGAACATTGCCAGCGATTTATTTCACTGGGAACAACCTTTCAAATATCAATCCAAATAACTTCAGCCTTCCCCCACAAATACCTGAGCGCTGCCAAGTTTTGCTGGCAACTTTTCTTAATCCAGAGGCGGCAGTGAGGTGCTGCTGCAGCATTGTGCAACCGACACAGATTATAAACACTATAAATGATTTTTTAATTATTATTATTTTCCAGTTTGGGGTCAAATAAACAAAAAAAAACAACAACAAAAAACCAGGAAGCATGCTGAAAGGTTCACTGATCCAGTGCAATTTTCTCAGTCTATCACCATTTAAACGCTCATATTCACTATGACAATAAGCTGGAAGTATGAATGTTTGTTGCAAGAGCAATACCCTCACTCCTGCACAAATCATAAAACCACTCACACAGAACTTACATAAAACCCACACTACTACTAGTAGTAGTTCCACAGGACTACTGTTTTCTTGCCTAGGGATGACTGCTTTCAGAAGGCCCTGTTTTCATGGCCAATGGGTACCATCTTCTGCTATTACAAGCGGTGGAGCCTCTCTAGAATAGTAAGACCTATTACTAGTGACTCAGGCACTAGGAATACCTCCCATATTCATTTCTGACTCCTGAGGCTCAGAGGGCATGATATTTTACTCAGTGTCAGTCCAGTTCTTGTGGCAGATGTCAGAAAACAGAGCCTGTCCTGACAGTCTACTTCTCTCCTAAGGAAGTTGTCACATTCCCAAAGACTTAACGGCCTTTTGAAAATGCTTGTGACTCGCTAAGGAAGATTCTCACTTTCAAGTTTGATGAGAAGACTCATCATCCATCCTGCCCAAACCCCAGGATGTAATCTGGTCATAACGTGAGGTGCAAGATACAGCCACTCCCACTCTCCTTATCTGTCTTGTGCCACAGCAGCAGTTTACAATGTCTTATGAGAAAACAAATAAGCAAAGGAACTTCCTTTCCCAAGATACATTTGACAGAACTTGCTTGATCCAAGAACATCTGGCACATTTGTTTTTAAAATCATCCTCCTGCCTCTTCCGTCACAATGACCCAACGCAATGGCTTAGAAAGCTGAAGCTGCATCAGAAAAGAGTTTGAGTATGTATATTGGTTTAACACAGTTAAAAGGAGAAAGGAACCCAGATGTCCAGAGTATCAGTCAGGTCCAGTGTGATATTTGGTTATTGTACTCCCAGGAGCACAGTGTAAGGAACCATTTTACAGAGCACATCCCACAGTTATTGCCAAGTGGTTTCAGTTGCAAGGGGTTTCTAAAACAAGTGATGAAGGAGAGGATCCATAGGCCTTATCTGCCCTTCTCAGCACCTGCAATCCCCACAGACACCAGGGGCTGCTGGAGTCATCAAGGAGGCAGGACCTGTCAGCATACATATTCCATATATGCACCATAAACTTGCCCAATGCTGCCATTTGAGTTTAGAGCTGCCTATCTTTATTTTGCACATGTCGTTGCTGCTATGCCCTCAGACCAGTCTCAGGACTGCTGAGTGGCCATGCAGCTCCCCTGCAGCATCCCATTCATGAAAGCAGTTGAATCCATTTGCCGTGAACCATGCTAAATGGTGTCTGAGCAACTAAGCCACTCTACACACACTGCAGGAGCTGCTGCACAGCTCCCATAATTCCTTCATACCTGCAACACAAGGCTTGTGAAATCTGTGTAAACAAATGCCTTCCAGCCTGTCTCACTGTTAGAGGAACCTCCACATCCTTCTCTGACACAACAGCAGAAAAGGCTTGCTCCGGACATTCCGCACCATGGTGCTCACCACTTATGCACAACAAATAAAGCAAAACCTCAAACCAGATACACAATTCCACTAATGCAGTATGGATCATGGAATGTGACATGTATCATGGTTTAAAATAGAGGTTACAGTACAAGATTTGCATAATTAGTAACATCACACATGTGACTTCCTGGGCTGCAAGGAAAAGCTAAGTAAGCACTAGTAGCTACTGTTTGCAGATTTCATTGCAGTTCTGGATGCCCCACAACCAGAGGTGAAGTACAGGCAACTGGTCAGCATCAACAGGGCCAGATCAGTTGGTAGATGCCACTGCTTACCTGTTTAGCATGCAAGGTAATGGAACTGCCACTGAAAAACCTCACCTGTTGAATTCCAAATTAACTTCTTGGAACTAGGCCAAAGTAAACCACCTCAATGCTAGAGGAAGGAGTGGAGCCAACCTCTACTTTTACACTACTTAAGACTCAAAAAAACCCCAGAAATGTCATCAATAATGTTTCACCTGCTTGGGTGACTTGACAAAGCACCTCCACATGTTATTTGCTGATCAGATTTTTTTCCCTTTACAATATTAAATATAATCACTATAACCTTCATCCCAGCCAGTTTGAATATAAGGTAAGAAGTGTCACTAGGCCAGTGCATTTTGATTTCACACTTCTTGCCAGTATTTTCACACTGACTAGGCTGAGTGGGGTAATCAGAACATGCCAGCTATCTCTTGATCTTCTCAGACGCATCATTACTCCTAAGAATCTGAAGTAGTGCCTGACCTAACATGCTGTTTCTGCAGGAATAAGTTCTCCTTCAAGCGAGGAAACTTCCATCTCCCAAGAGTTGAACTGAAGTGGTTCTCTTCACACTCATTTCATTAGCACAAGCAAATATTCACTGTTAACATTAATTTACACTGTTAATATTAAAGTAATGGGCTACAGACGCCACATCCTGAGCTCATTCCTGGATACAAGATGACACATAAAAAAACATAAGGAAAAGTTTAAAAACATTTCTTACTGACTATGGTAATTTGAGACAGTATTTCCTACTGATTTCTGGAGGATTGCTCAGTGGGTTAGCTCAAGTAACCCTCTTCCTCTGAGAAGGTATTAAATATGAAGAAACAATGTTGTCAAACCATTAGCAGCTGACAGTATCCTCTAAACTCCTCTCCTGTGTCTCATCAGCTCACAGTTCACACAATCTGTCACGCTGTAACAGAGCAGATCTGGCAAACTGTGTTTTAAGACAGGCAGATGTATCAGTATCAGACTGCAGTTATCCAAATGATGCACTGCCTAAACAGATTATGCACTGGCTAAGAAAGAGCACGCAGAGAGGCAGAAGCTGTTACCTGTGGGCAGAGAGGAAAAAGTATCCATGGAGTGAAAAAGCTCCTCGCTGTTTTCAGAACTGTATGGAGGCAGAAAGCACTCTCCTAGGTCACAAACAGAGGGTAGGTCCAATACGCTGCTCTCCTCCGAGGGAGGACTTGGTGACACCTCATTTCTTTTCATGGTCCCACTGCAGAGACACAAATGTGATTGAGCTGGGCTTTTAGACCATGAAAATCTAAGCAGAAGTCAACACAAATGACCTCTAATTTCTGCACTGCTTACGAGCCAAGATAAGCTGTTCCAGCATATTTGTACTTCATTTAAGAAAATCAGAACAAGTTTAAAGATGTAAAGAAAGAACACCACCAAAAGCCATAGACAACAGGCTAACCAGGATAACTAGGAGTCCACAACAAATCTGGCTTTCCTAGAGACTTCCCAGAAGTACAGATTCAGGCCCCAAAACTAGAAAGCTATGGAGTTTATTCCCTTCAGGGTATAGCATGTATGCAATTTAAAAGGAAACATGTTCTACAAGGTCCCTTTCCACTGATACTTCTAAAACTCACAAGTTAAACCCATCCATCCTGGGGCAGTTCATGAAGTTTATCACACTTACTAGCATAAGGAAAGAGCATCTTAAGACTTGGTACTCTCAGTCTCACATGGATGGCAAGGATTCCCTGGTGTGGAGACACCAGGGCAGCTGTGTTGCATGGCCTGTGCACAGCACTTTGGAAAGCTGTGGTTGAAACCTCCCCACATCCCAACACCCTCTTCTTGAGCTCCCTCAACCAGGCCACCACTGCAGAAGGCAAGAATACACAGCTGAGCAGACAGTAGGACAGGGCTGGTGCTACCCAGGGCCAGTGGATAGGCAACTCTCTTGGAGAGGATGAAATGGAAGTGCTCCAGGCCAGCAGCTTCAAGCACAGCCACACAAGTGTCTGGGGAAGGAGAGAAGCGAAAGGCAAAAAACTTGATTGGGCAGGAGCTCACAGAATTAACAAACAGGAAGTAGGAATCCTCCAGCTGAACCATGATTAGTACTGACTCAGTAAGAGGGGCTCTCAAGGAGAGATGCAAAAGAGCCCCAAACACCTTCCATTTCTATGTGAGGGGAAAAAACATGGACAGAACAAGAGTGTTTCTTGTGAAAAGTGAATTTAATTCCCAGCCCTTACAGAGACTCCAAGAGATTTGTGCAAGTTTTTTCCTTCGTCTGTTTTGTCTGCTTATATGCCATTAAAAAGAAAAAAAAACAAGTTGTGGCTATTTGTGCTGCCCCCTCCACCAGCTGTATCTTTCTGCTATTTTTGTAAAGAGTGACAGAACCAGATCTAGCGGTCAGGCAATGGTCTGGACACTGCAGGCTCACATTAATCTCCCCTTCTATAAAACGAAGAAGGCAACACACTTATGACAGGGATATTGTCAGTGAAGAATGTTACAGGCACAGGAACCAAGGAAATCCGTAGAAGGGATTAGTACTGAAAAATGAAGTACATACCCCCTTGTAGAATATTTAACCCACCGTTCTTTAGGTGCTTTTGTGTTGAGTAAACTTGTAGGCAAGACACAGCTCTGACCTTTGCAAATGATGAAATGACACTTGCTAATGAACACCGTGGAGATGTTGGCTGTGATAGGGAGGACATCAGCTGCCTTGCCTTGGAGGGACAAGCAAGACCCATGCATTCACAGAAAGATGAAGGAGGTTAAAAATAAAACAAAGGACACAACCCTCTGCCCCCAACAGTCATTGCAAAGGAAAGTTTCTCCTCCATTCCTCTTCATATCCTAAACCACAGATGATCTGTGCATTAAGGAACATAAGGAGAAAACAGTATTTGAGGAAAGTTTCATGATTTGTGGTACTTTTTAAGTACAAGGATATTTTAGAGAACAAAACTGCCTACTTCAGTTCTTGGCCTGTGAATAAAACCCACACCAAACCCCCAGCCAATCCTATCCAAGAGCAAGTAGAAGATTATAGCAAGAGGAGCTCCTGGTGGGGTACCACAGCAACCTAAGGCTGTCACTGATATGGGCCACTGTGGTCCTATGCCAGCTGCCCATGCTGGCCTCCTTCTTTGTAGTGCCACAACAGGGCTAACATGTGTAGCCATGGGACAATCAGGTTCTGATAAAACAAACCACCCTTTTTTGGGGAGGAAAAAAAAAAAACAAAAAACCCTTAGCTCAACTCCCTCCAATCCTCCTAAATGAAGCATACAGCAGACGTAGTCCCAAAACTGATGGTGAGATTTGAGTGGTGAGGATAAGCAAGACCTCAGCTCAGCCCTTGGCCTTCAGGCATAAGAAAGAGACACACCATTACCTCTGTGCCATACCTAGGAACAGTACAAACGCAGCAGCACTCCCCTTGGACAGGGTCTGGAAGCAAACAGTGTGTTACTCCTTCCTTCACGGTTTGTCAATCCCAGCTCACTGGAATGAAACAAACAGGTCAGTTACATGCTTTGCGTCAGCTGATCGGGCTGATGGATGCTGTGACCTTTCAAAGTACATATGCCAGCCGATGTCAACAGTCGGTCACCACATATACCACTGTTTGTTGGGTCTGGTACAGAGAAAATTTTTTTCTAGGAATCAGCAAAGCACATCCAGTAAAGCCCTTGAATCTTCTGACAGCAACCGAGACCTCCTGGAAAGGGGCTGGTACACTCCAGAAATAAAGCCAAGACTTTATTTGTAAGGAGGTGCCAGATGGGCTGTTTATTCAAAACCCATGAAGGAGAGAAGTGAATTACAGCTGGCATCCTTCCCTCCCTCTTGCGGAGGAGCAGGTATTTCCCCAACAGGTTTATCTAGCGGTGCTTTGACACCGACACTGATAGCCTGTGCTGCGTCAAACCCCAACCAGGAAATGAGCTTTAAAGAAGGCCACCTAACCCAGCATGTGGAGCAAACCACAGGCCCATGAAATCCAAATCCTGTTTCCCACCCTCTGCTATTACCTCATTATTTTTATCGAGCAACAAGGAAAAACATACTTTCAGGAGTATGGATTTTGTCAATCCCAGCTCCCTGGAATGCGGAAAAGTACTGGAAAGGCACAGGAGGAAAAGCACAGGAGGAAAAGTACTGGATTTTTCTCTGGGCCACCATCGACTGGTCGCACTGTACTACTACTGGGAATTCCCAAATGCACATTGCCTGTCCTTGGTGCAAACACAAGGCACAACATGAGATGCGTGACGGGCATGCTGATGGGCACAAGGCGCTGGCCTTACCGGCTGTCCCTCTCAGCTGGCTTTGGGGCGTGCACGGGTTTCTGTTCCTCCCAGTCACGTTTCCTTCCCCTTCCTGCAGGCAGAGACACATATTATTTCAACAAGCACTATTTCTACAGCCAGTTGCTTCACTGCAAAGGGAAACAAAAGCAACCCCCTCCCAGGCCTGGTGTGAGCCCCACAAGCCAGAGCTCCCCTCTGTCTCACCATGGCTGCCACCCCCCCACTTTCCGAGGAGGAAAGTAGGCTGCAGCACCCCACGGACATCAAAACATTGTGGAAAAGAGTAAGGGGAACGCCAAAAGCACGCAAACGCTGCCCGGCCCGTGTCCCCACAGCCCTCCACCGGCTGCCGGAAGACGAGCCCAGGCAGGGCTCCCCGGCTCCGATGCCGCCATGTCTAAGTGAAGCGGGCAGGGCCATCTTGGCTGCGCCCGGGCGGGCCCGGCCGGGGGGTGCCCCGAGCACGGCACCGGCACTGCGGGGCCGAGAAGGGTGGGGAACGGCGAAGCCCAGGCTGATACGGACCCAGCGACGCCTCCCGGCAGCGGCCCCGGGCCGGCGACAGAGTCTGCGCGGGCAATGAGTCCGCCCCTGGCGCGGCTGGACTGGGACGCGGCGGCGTGTGGGGAGGAAGACAAGAGGGAGGAAAATACACAGACAATGGGGTGGGGGGAAAGGAGGGTTCATCTGAAAGCTGTTTCCTGTCAGGTTTTCCTCAGAACACGTTTAACTCGGGTGTAATCCTCTGAATTCAAAACGGAGAGGTTTTGGTACCGCCACCCCTCGCCTGGAGTGGTGGGGCAGCAGCCCACCTGGTGCCCGGCGTGCAGGGTTTTGCTTCAGACCACTCGTTTTACACCGTTGTGGTACATTCCCCAACCCGAGGCACAGCCTGGAAAAGCCCTGAGCAGTGGCGAGCACAGGGCTGCGCTGGTGTGTATGGGAAACACCATAGTGGGGACTGAGGCAAAACCAAACCACCTCTCACCAGGGCATAAGCAGGTGGGTAGGCTGCGAGTCTTTCTTCTGGGGCTTACAGAGCACATCTGCAGTTCGTGTGGAGGTCAAGGAAATGTGAGGCTAGTCATTAGCTGCTGCACACCAAAAGGGTGTCCATCCATCCTCTCCCTCATGGCACCAAGCAGCTAAAGAGGCAGCACAGTGGAAGTACTGCAAACCGTGCTGGGAAACAGGATACAAACCACGCTGAAGTCGGGACGTGCACATGGCTGCGGTGGCCATGACAGCGTGGTGACAAGGGCACCAGCAGGACTTACAGGGGAGCAACACAGACATCCTGACCCTCTTAGTGGGGGCAGTGAGTGCTCCTGGACACACTCTGGATGGTTTCCCAGCAAAGAGAATGTATTGCAGTGCTGCCTGACAGAGTGTGCATGACACAGCCAGTCATCCCAGGACACTGCTGCTGGTGGAGGTCAGGGAGCAGCCCCTTTTATTGTCTGGTCAGCAGTCGGGGAGGAACGCTGCTGGCCAGCCTGCCGGGGAGGAGTGCTGCCAGGGGAGAGCTGGCTGCGCTTCTTGGCACGCATGCTGCCAGTGAGACTGGGAAGGACTTGGTAGTGTTTTCCGAGAGCTCTGGACTGTGAAGTTACTGGTGGCAAACCAGTGTGTTTAGAGGGAAGTTGTTAAAAGGAAGGAAATAAATTTGAAGTCCCGTAGCTGCCAACGGTTTTTATCCCAGGTGAACTGTCTCAAGCCAGGGGAAGGTTCCCACAGGAAAAAGCAGCCTTTGATTCTGCTTTTCAGGCACAGCAGTTGCAAGTCTGCCTTGTACTTACAGCCTCCCTCAAGCCAGGCCTGGACTTCTGGGGTCACTGTGTAAGTAGGAATGCAAACCACGCTACTGCCTGGGCTGTAGCTAAACCCAGACACTGCTCTAGTGCAGGGCTACCTCTTGCCATTCACTGTCTGTTCCGCTGGGGAGTGGGATGGCACCATTTTCATGAGTTGTAAGGCAGCACCCAAGTGCTTCATTTCTTTGCAGGGAGTGTTGCCTGGAGCTGAGCTAGGGAATGAAAACCATCAGCAGATCTCCTTTATTTAGCTGTGGGAGCACATGCAATATTACAGCATCCAGAAACCAGCCATCTAAGTGATCTCACTCCACTGGATCATCCCAAGTCTCTGCCATTAGAAAAGCTCTGGCAGCGGGGAACATCACTAGTAGGTATTGCTGGCTCCTGGAAAAGCAAAGAACTCCAGCAAGCAGAACTGTCAAGGAAGCCATAGTGCTTATTAACAAAGCGTACTTGTTTCTATTTGTCATATTAGGTGGACAACCAAATCTTTGACCTTAATCCTCATTTCCCTCCCTCACCAGAACAGAGAGGTGCTGAAGTTTCTTGATAGAGCAGAGCACTCCCTGGTCTCATTGCCATTGTAAATCTACACTTTTTACCTTTATTCCTTATGGACTGCATTATCAGCCAAAAGATTACAATTGCCTACAGTATTTAGGGCAAGTCTGTAAGTATGCACTATGCTCCTTCCGTTTATCAGTGTGTTAATGTTAGCACATGATAAAAAACTACACCAGCAGCCATGTCTCAAGTTGGTTAAAGCATGAGAGTCAGGAAGCACAGAATTAGCCCCCACACCTGACATTTACCAAAGACCAAACTACTGAGGGTGACACATGGGGAAAAGGAAATAACATTTTCTGACTATTGCAGCTCTGTTGCAATGTGAGTTTTCAGTGTTGACAGTCTCAGAGCCAGGTTCTTAAGCTGTACAATTTCATGTCATTGAAGCTTATGTGTATCTGCTGACTTAGCCTCTTAAAAATTTCATACGTGACATGAAGAAAAAAAGTCTGTCTTCATAAAGAGCAGAATGAGCAAGTTCATGTCTTTCCAGTCCTTTCCCACTGTCACACCACAGGAGATTATTAACTCTGTCTACTCACTTCCTTCTTTCACAACAGCTAGAAGTGAATTTAGTACATGAAAACAGAAAAACAGCTGAATAGCTTCTATTCAGCAGGAAGTGCCCAGAGCGGAAGGGATGCTAAGGATACACAAAGAAGGTTGAGAAACAGCTCGTTGAACCCCTGAGATGAGGAACTGCAAGTGGTAGCTCATCTCCACTCCTTCCAGACCAGTGAGGTTTGCTGGTGGTTCTGCAGATAGAAAAGGGCACAGGAAGGCTGGAAGAAAAGCTCTTTTTCCATCACCCCATCACCCATAAAAGTTAGCATTCTCAAGTAACCTTTGCATGATCATACTCCCTTCACCTACAGCTGTGTCCTCTGCATGCACACCATCATACAGTGTGGAAAGTGCAGCTCAGCTTCAGGGACAAAAGACATAAAAGCTGCATTATGACAGCAGACACACAAGGACCATCTTCAAGCTCCCTGGTCTACGTATATTATCCATCCTGATTCCTACCACAGCACCTGGGTTAGCATACTTAGGGAAATATACTGGCTTACCTGGAAAAAAAACCCAAACCATACTTGTGCAACACTGAAAAAAGAAAAGGTTGGGTTGTCCTAAAACTCACTGATTTATCCAGCTATGTTAGCTGGTCAGATAAAGGGTATTACCAGTCCCTCCAGAATTGATGCAGTTAAGTTTCCAGCACCACATAAAAAGACACTGTGTTTTATGTTTTTGCCACATCAAAAGCAATCATTCAAACCAGCAAACCTCTCTCAAAAGGGTCAGTTCCACTTACACTGAAATACCCTTCCTTGTCATTACTGTGTCCAGACAGTGATAACTGCAGGTCTAATGTCTTGCAGAGTTTGGACTGACCTATCACAGAGCACCTACTGCTGATTCAGGTTCATGGTTAACACCAAGATCAACGTATAAACTATCCTACTTGTCTTTCTCATGCATAGTCAAGTCAGCATCTACCAAGATACCCCAACCCCATAAACTGCACTCCAGTGACTGTACTTCTCTTCAAGACAGGTTAAGGTTACAAACACAAGCAGTCATCTGCATTACAGAAAGTAATGCACATGGTCAGCCATGCATCTGAAAAATTCTTGGGCTTATCTGCCCTGGCTGTAAGCCAAGTCATGCTTTTCGCTTCCTCCTTCAGTAACTAGGAGTTTAAGCCTTTTGCTTGCTGCAGTCAACACCCTAAAGTACAGGAGGTTTCAAACACCACATGCCAGTAAATTGACTTTTGTTTTTCCCCTCCCATGAATCTGTTGCTATGAGTGTGCCAGCAGTATCTGACTTTTTAAGGTGCCACTTCTAAACTCAACATGAAATCATGGGAGCCAATTCATGTATTAATACCATGTCTTGGAATTCAGTGATTTCAGGAGAAACTTACTCTCTCTTCAAAAAGTAGTTTTCTGTGGCAGGGCCTTGAAAATGTGAATGTTGGGAATTTTCCAGTACAAGCAGGAGCCAATTTTTTTTTTTTTCCTTACAATCCTGTACTAAATCCTCTCTGTATTCTTTGAGAGCTTGTGCTGGAATGGGCAGAGAGTCATGGCTCCTACCCCTCTGAGTGATATTACCTCTCTTGTTTTTTGGGCTACTCACTTTGCATCTGCTGCTGCTTGAATCCACTGTGTAGGAATGTCTTTTAGGCTGGTAACACTATTATTCTTGTTCTGCTTAGGCTTTTAGCACAGTGGATGCAGCCATAGGGTTTTGTGGGGCCTCATTTCCTTCCTACAAAGAGCCTTTCTGCATCACTACTCCCTAACAAAACAAAAGTATTACCTGACTCAAGGAAAGACACAAAGCCCTCGCTACTAGTGAAAGATTTAAGCCAGGTGTCCTTCTAGTTGTATTATTCATGGCCTCCAATTGGTATAGAGACCCTATCCTGTAATACCTTTTAGAGCAGGAAGAGCCGGGCAGCTTCCACGGCTGGCACATAACCCCTGCTGCTCACCTGCTTTTCCACTCCCAGTGCTGACACAGCTTGGGAGAAGTAAGATAAAAGCTTTCAACTTGGGTTGAGGCAGGAAAACCCCACAAGAC